TAATTTTAATAACTTTCTTTGGAAGAATTTGATTATTTTATTAAATCGTCCAATTATTTTTAAAAATTATAATAAAATTTTTGTTAAAATTCTTTGTAAATTTCCATTATAAGCAACATTTTGAATTAAGATTACTTTTAAAAAAAACTTCATTTTCGAGAAATTTAAAATAAAATAAAATAAAAAAAAAAAATAAAAAAAATAAAAAAAATAAAAAAATAAAAAAATAAAAAAAATAAAAAAAAAAAATAAAATAAAATTTAATTTTCAAAATAATTTAATTATTTACGAAAACTCCAATAAAATTGTTTAAAAGAATTTAATTTTTTATCAATAATTTTAAGAAATTTTTATAATAAGTAAAATTATTAATTACAATTATTAATAAACAATTATTTTAAAAACTTAAATGAAATTCTTCATTAAATTTAATTACCTACTTATAAAACTTTCAATAAGAATTATTAAAAAAGCTTGATTATTCTAAAAAAATTTTAATAAATTCAACAAAGGAATTTAATTATTTTCAAATTTTTATGATAAACACTTCTCAAAAATTAAATGATTTTTAATAAATTAATTTTTAAAATTCAAAACATTTAAAAGAAAATTGTTAAATAAAATTATGAAACAAAGAAGCAAACAGAAACTAACTGCAATAAACAGTTTACCAGAATACAATAATTATTAATAAATAAGAAATTACATTATTATTTAATTTTTATTTGATTTCATTAATAAATTAATAAATTTTATTTATTTAATTTTATTTTCTTTAATATTTAAACAAAAACATAATTCTATTAATAAATTGTTACTATTCTTAATGCGGTATGTTACAAAAAAAGCAAGTAACAAAATTGATTGAATGTAATTATAAAAGTTTTCTGCATTCTGTTGAAACAGAGAGAAACGCTAACCACGATGAAAACATTTGTGAGTGACACGATGGTTAGAGTAATCATGTGGAACATCAAAGCAACGTGTTGCAAATTTCCACAACTTAAGAAATTCTCCATTCAAACGTGCAAAAGTACAAATTGTAAAATTACATTTTCTCAAAGTAAACGTTCCTTTTGAGAAAATGAAACTTTATTAATATTTATATTCACTATAATTTGCAATTAAAAAAAAGAAAAAAAAATACAGAACAAATTCGAATCACAAAAAAAAAATACTTTTATTTTGAATAGCAGAAATATTACTACAATAATTTTTTCTTTCAATTTTTCCTTTTTATTTTTTATCCAGGACTAATGTTTTATTTTAAAAAAAAAACCAATGTGTTATTTTTTCTTAACTAGAAATTAATTACTTCTTTGTAAATTATTACTTTTTACTAAAAATGGAAAAAACGAAGCGAAATTATTTTTTGATTCAAAATTTCGTTTTTCGATTTTTAATTAACGCCTGTAAAATAAAATAATTACTAGAGTGGCAATTGTCTTTTGTTCTCTTTGAAATTAATTTAAAAATTAGTTAATAAAAAATAAAAAAAAATTAAAGGAAACTCAAGTTTTCCGTCGGAGAAAAAAAATCAGTAAGAAGATGTAAATTTGCAACTAGCATTTCCACTTTTTTGTCACATTCTAAATTAGAGAATAAAGAAAAATAATAATTAACAGGAATAAAATTTTTCAATCGCTAAATGTAATTGAATGTTAAATAATATATCATTCAACTGTAATCGACTATTTGAATAGGATTAAAATGTATTTTATATTTTATAAATGGAAATGAAAATGCCACTCGATATTGATTTTTCTTTTGATAGAATGAGAGCGGAAAGAGAAGTCTCATGAATGCAATGTCATACCTCTATTGTTGATATGTTTATTAAATCCTTAACCCTATGCACAAAAGCATCAGGAAAAGGAAGAGAAAAAAATTTTCTCATTTGTATCACTCGATGGAACTTTAATGACAATGAAGCTATATAGCATTGGCAACATTCACTTAAATGTAGTGGCATCGTAAATGCAACTTTCTCTCTCTCTCTCTCTCTCTCTCGCGTAATTGTTGCTCAGTACTTACTTTCCACGCTACCAGTAACTTTACCCAGTTTCCTGGCCTATTTACTAACTATTCACGAGTTTAGATACTGGAAGAGGCAAATTACAGAAATAAAACTTTCCCAGATAAAAATATCTTGAACCATGAATTTATTTTCTTAGTAATTTCCTCCGAATTTACATTTCCCGCTAAATGGAACTAATAAAGAAGAGGGAAGAAGAGGAATAAATATTTGAAGGTGGTAAATATTGCTAAATACCCTCTACAATGTCAAGTTACCGTGACTTATTTGCAATAATCACTTTATTTTTAATTAACAACATTCCTAGGACTAAATTTATAAATTTTTACTTCAATTATAATTTATAATAAAATATATCGAAATAAAAATTATTTACTTATTGTAAAATAAAAAAATTATTAAATATATTCAAAATAAAATTATAGCCAATAAAAATTTGATATAAGGTTTCAATGCGGAATGAAAAATTAAATTATTCTCACATTAACAATTTTTAATTTAGAAAATTACAGGGTGTCTACTATTTTCGTTCTACGAAATTCCCGGCTTTATCCTAATTTTTCCCTAATTTTTTTTTCTCATGAAATTTAAATTGATTTCGAATGTAAATAAATCTAAAAATGGATTCAAAAATTTTTATTAGAGAATTAATTAAAAAATTAATTAAAAACTAAAATTAAATTTTCTTGACGAGATTCTTTAAATTTTTAGAAAATAAGGTTTTTTTAATAATTTTAATTAAAAATTTGAAAAATAATTGAATTAAACAAAGAATTAACAAATTTTTTTTAAATAATCTTGTCTGTTCATAATTATAATTGAAAATTTGATTAATTCAATTTTATTAAAATGTATTGATACTAATTGAATTTCTGCAAAGAATTTTACTATTTATAAAAGTAATTGAATTCTTCCCAAGAATGTTATTATTTATGAAAATAATTAAATGTTTGCGTTGAATTTTATTACAATTTTTGAAAATAATTGAATTGTGAAGAACAATTTATTTATTTATAAAGATAATTGTAATTTTGAGAATTTAAAAAAAGTTTTAAACACAATTGAATTTCTGCAAAGCATTTTATTACTTTTGAAAATAATTCAATTGTTTTTTAGAATTTTATGAAAATTTATGAAAATAATTGAATTTTTGTGAAGAATTTTTTTTTTAAATAATATTCAAAAGAATTAAGTAAATCTGAAGAAATTTGCTATTTATGGAAATTATTGAATTCTACAGAAGAATTTTTTTACAGTTTCTAGAAATAATTGAATTCTTTCGACGAATTTTATTAAAATTTTCAAGAATAATTACATTTTTCGAGGAATTCGATTAAAATTGTATTAAAAATAATTGAAATTCTGCAATGAGTTTTACTATTTATGAAAATAATTGAATATACAATTTCAATTATTTGTTTATAAAAATTCAATTATATTGAAATAATAGAATTGAAAAGTTTGAAAAATTTTGTTTTTAAGTATATTCAAAAAAACGATTCTAAATTAAATAATGTCTCAAGATTTTCGTAAACCTATAAATAATTATTTATAATCAGACATTGAATCTAGAATTTAAGGACAAAAAAAATTCCTTTTAGTCGATTTACAAAAATCTGATTCAACATTTCCCTGGATTTTTCTTGATTCCAATAAAAAATATTCATTCATTTCCTGCAGCATAAGATAAAAAAGAATAATTTAATTATTTTACAAATTTTTAACTTAATATTTTCAAATTATTTACCAAAAATATTTACTAATTTGAATTTGTAATTGACTTTCTGCTTAGAAAATAGAAATAACTACTTATTAGAAAAATTTGCTAATTAGTTAACATTTTTACTAATTCTTTAGAGAGTACAATTTTTTAAAAGACGAATTTTTTTTTTTATTTCTAAATTATGTCAGTAAGTCTTTCAAAATTCTTTGGAATTTATAAATAAAATTATTCAAAACTTTAATAATTTTTAATTTATTATCTAAAATTGTAACTAAAATTCAGTTTTAATTAATTATTTTTAGAAAGTTAAACGAAAATTCAATTATTTAAATACGAAAATAATTAATTAAAAAATTGATTATTTCTTAAAAACTTAAAATTGAATTTTTATAAAGAACTTTATCAAAAATTTTATAAATAATTGAATTATTTCGAAAATTTTTAATAATAATTGCATTTTTCGAAAAATTTGTTTAATATTGCATTAAAAATAATTGAAATCCTGAAAGGAATTTTATTAATTTTTTTTTAAATAATTAAACTCCTGTGAAGAATTTTATTATTTGTGAAAATAATAATTGAATTCTAGAGAAGAATTTTATTAAAATTTTAGAAAATAATCTGCATTATTTTGAAGCAACTTGTTTATTAAAAATTTTTTAAATAATTAAATTCTTTCTAAAAAATTAAGTACAATTTTGTAATAAAATTATATGAATTCTTATAAACAATTTTTATCACAAATTGTTAAAAATAATCGATTTCTTTTGGGGGATTTTATACAAATTTTTTGAAATATTTAATTTCTTTTAACAAAAAATTTCATGAAAATTGTATTTCTGTGAAAATTTTATTATTTATGAAAATAAGTATTTATTTATTTATACTCAAGTGAGTTTTTGCGAAAAATTTTTTTGAAAGAAATTTATGACAAAGTTTTGAGAATATTTTTTTTTAAAATTAATTATTAGTTGAAAAATCAAAGTGAAAGAATGTAAATAAAAAAGTAAAAAAAAAAATTTAAACAAAGAAAAATAAAGAAGAAAACAAAATGTTTTTCCTCTAAAAACTGCAAAAACGTAAAATTGATAATGTGTTTTTTTTTAGTCTTTATAAAGCGTTGTTATGCATTCTAAGAGTAAAAATATTGTTGAAAAGAAAAGTTTCAAGTACAGGTAGTGTTTTAGATTTGTTAAATAATTCATGTGAGTACTTAGGGAGCTTCTTTGCTTGATGTTTCAGGTGGAGACATAAGAGTGAATGTCATAGTGCCTAAGGAAGCCGAAGTTGGCAAATCCATAAATTTAAAATGCGAGTGGAGTCTCAGCAAAGGGGATGCTCTTTACTCGGTAAAATGGTATAAAGACGATCACGAATTTTTTCGATACGTTCCCGACCAGCATCCGAAAATTCAGACCTTTCCATTAAACGGAGTCTATCTCGACGTAAGTACACTTAACGCAAATTTCAGTTTCAAAAAGTAGGAAAAAAAACTCATTTTCATTTTAATGAAAGCATGTTTGATTCAAGTTGAAAGTCACATTTTTTCACAAGACTCCACGAAAAATAGAAAAAGAACATATATAGAATCAAACGATCAGAAAAAATAAAGAAGAATAAAAACCCGATCAGAGAAATTAAATAAAAAAAAATAAATAAATCAATTTGTCAATTATGCTTTCAAGAAAATTATACTAATTGTTTTCAGATTATACATAAGCATAAAAAATTTTGTTTAAAAACAAAATTTGAAACAATTTCTTCAAGGAAAAAAAGTTGTTCGATGAAAAAAAAATCTTTTTCGTCTGATATACTACAAAACGATCTCTGCTTTTTTTTGCCCTCCCTATATCCTTGAAATGTATTTTCATTTGCTTCCTGTAATAAACTTTGGAGATTGTATGATATACCATCTATTCCTTATGAGACGAAAGTTTTCAAGTTTGATGGGGCGTCTTTATAGTATCTTAAAAGCGTTTTAAAACTTCTGAACATCTCATCATGATCACTTCAAAAGTTTCTAAGTTCTAAAGACGAGCGCCTTTCAGATAAAAATATTACAAACTATAATAATTTTTAATAAAATGAAACAAGACTTCAAAGTAAAAGAAGAAAAAAAGAATTGACATTCGAGGTTAAATTCAGTTCTTTCGCTCCTCAAAAAACTTCTTCAACCATAGTTCACAATTATTCTTTTATCTAATCGCAAAAAAATTAATAACTTCGAAAAAGAACTTAACTTAAAAAATTTAAGAATGTAAAAGAAATTACATTTAGAATAAAATTAATTAATGCTTTAATCTTCTGATATATTTTTTAGTTTTGAATTTACTTCATTGTAAGAGAATCAAACTTAAATCGAAATTTAGTTTTCCAAGCAACTATTAATTGGAATTTAAAAAAATTGTCAATGTCATGCATTTATTTTATTTAAAACCAGAGATATTTTCATATTTAAAAAAAAATTTTTTAATATTTTTCTATTTTCTGTTTCTTATTTAATTCTTTTTAATTTGTTTAACTAAAAAATATTTTTCTAAAATAAAAAATTGAATTGTAGGTATTTTATCATTTGAAGTGGATATTTTTTTAATACTAGTAAATTTAATATTAATTCTAATATTACAATTCTGTAAATTTTGAAAAGAACTTTTCTGTAAGTTTTCAGAGAAAAAGTTTTACTACTCCACAGAAGATGTTTTAATATTTCAAAGATAATTTTTTAACATTCTAGAAAAGAATATTTTAAAAGTCCAATATTTATAACATTACAGGAATTATATTCTTAATAATAAAATTCTTTTCTTTCAAAAAAATATTTTTAATATTGTCAAAAATAATATTTGAAATATTCTCGGAAAGATCATTTCAAATATTTAAAACGGAAACATATTAATATTTATTTTCTTTTATTCTAAAAAAAATGTTGATTAGAGATTTCCCTTTTTTTACTTTCATTTTCATTATAAGAAACTTTTTTTGGTTCATTTCTGAGGGGCGATCATTGAGTTAAATCTTGATTATTAACTTTGATTTTCACTTTCATTTTTATTTTTTACTATTATTTACAGATTTTTCTTTTTTACTTTTATTTCCTTTTGAAGAAACATTTTTTCTTTCACCTTTGGAGGTCGATTATGGAATTATATTTTGAGTTTCACTTTCATTGTCACTTTCATTTTTAATTCAATTTTTATTTTTTACTATCATTTACATACAGACTTTTCTTTTTTACTTTCATTTGTACTTTCATTTTTATTCTTTACTATCGTTTATATATTTTTCTATTTCGTTTAATTTTCCCTTTAAGAAACTTTTTTCTGCTTCAATCCTGGGGGTCGATAAGGCAATTTCATTTCTACTTTCACTTTCATTTTCACTTACATTTTGATGATTTCTTTTTTCCATTTATTTTTATTTTCATTTTCACTTTGATACTATTTTGTTTTTATTTTTACTTTCACTTTAAAAGATTTTTCGTCTGTTATTATCACTGTCACTAATACAAATTTTTATTTTTATTTTTAATTTGATAGAAAGTGAAAATATGAATCTATCAAAGTGAAAGTAAAAATGAAATTACGAAATCGGCTATGATTCTGACCAATTTATTTTATTAATATTTAATTTCATATTTACACTTTAAGAAATTTTCATCTTCACCTTGATGATTTTCTTTAAATTCATTTTTTTATGAAGATAAAAATAAAAGTTAATTGAAACTGAAAATTTGTCATGGTGAAAGTAATCATAAATAAAAAATGAAAGCGAAATAGAAATAAAAATTCTGTCAAATAAAAATGAAAATATAAATTAGAATGAAATTCTGTCAAAGTAAAAGTGAAAATGAAAATAAAAATCTATCAAAGTGAAAGTAGAAGTGAAAATAAAAATGAAAATGAAAGTCAAAACGAAATTACATAATCGACTTCCTGGGGATCATTATGTATTTTTATTTTTATTTTTACTTTCATTCTCACATTCATTTACACTTTTATTTTTATCTTTTACAATTCCTGTGCCAGATTTCTTTTCTTTAATTTCATTTTCACTTTGAGAAATTATCAATTTCAAATTTCTGATCTTCCTGCAGATTAATTTTCTTTTTGAAAGTAAAAATAACTTAATTTAAAGTGAAAATAGTGAAAATGAAATTCTGGAAAAGTAAAAGTGAAAATGAAAGTAAGAATAAAATTTTGTCAAAGTAAAAGAGGAAATAAAAGTGAAAATGGAATGTTGTCAATGTGAAAATAGAAACAAAAATGGAAAAACTCAAAGTGGAAGTAAAAATGAAAATGAAAACGGAAGTCAAATTAAATTAGAATAATTAACTTTTAGGATTAGTGGGAAAATTTGGTTGTTTTTTATATAAACAGTTCGTATTTTTAAAACAAATTGAAAAATAATTTTGATTAGTGGGAAATTTTTTATGCTTTTTATGAGGTGTTGTATTTTTGGAAAATGTTAAAAAATAATATTTTTGGGTCAATTATAAAATTTTATTTCGACTTTCACTTTTATTCACTCTTTGATTTTTACTTTTATTTTAATTTTTTTACTTTCACTGACAGATTTATCTTTTTTTACATTCATTTTCAGTTCAAGAAACATTTTCTTATTTCACTTTCATTCTCACTTTCTGTTTTACGTCCATTTTGATTTTTTTCTATCATTAGAGATGATTTTTCTTTTTTACTTTCATTTTCACTTTCACTTTGATAGATTTTTACTTTCATTTTTATTTTGATAGAATTTTATTTTTCCTTTCACTTTGATAATTTTTTTTTCCTGTTATTTTCATTTTCACTTTGATAGTATTTTGTTTTTATTTTCATTTTTACTTTAACCTTTGATAGATTTTTTGTCATTTATTATCGCTGACACTAATATAAATTTTTACTTTTAATTTAATAGAAAGTGAAAATATAAATCAGTCAAAGCGAAAGTAAAAATGAAATTACGTAATCGACTCCCTTGGGGGTCGATTACGTAATTTTATTTTTACTTTCACTTTCATTTTCACTTTCATTTTTACTATTATTCTGACAGATTTATTTTCTTTAATTTCAATTTCACTTTAAGAATTCTGTCAAAGTAGAAGTGAAAATGAGATTCTGTCAAGGCGAAAGTAGAAGTAAAAAAAATCTTTCAAGAAAAGAATTTAAAAATATAAAAAAAATGAAAAAGAAATCCCTTCTAAAACATAATTGCAGACTAATTAAATCAGTCACTCTCGAAAATGAAGATAATTTCGAAATTTAAGGAAAATAACTATATTGCGATAGATGAGTACAGTATTATCTTGTCAGATGACACTCGAACTACGCCTCGGGCAACGTAATGCGCTATACATCTTTCGTAATTCTCTTCTGCTAAGGAATTTGGCAGGATTTGCATTTAGACGACTCACATCTCGACGTTGGCTCGCCGTTTCCGACTCGTGGGAATAATCTACAACGGAACCTTTACAAACCCAAGGAGAAGTACTTCTCCCCCAGGAAGATATAGTGCACGTCGAAAATGCCTTGGATCGCATTACCAAGGCATAATAACTTGCGCCCCATCCCCCCCCACCCTGTCCCCCTTTTCACCCCCTCCAACCATCACGAAAAATTATGTAATGAACCGAACTACTTTCACATGGAAAATATACTTTCCAAGGAGAAAATATATTTATATGAAATATTTCGCGTGCCGAAATGTATAATAATGATTGTTGAAATATTAAAGATGCCTCTGGCTTTTTATCGCATGGAGACTATATGCATCATCTTCTTTTGGTGGCACATAAATTATTTATTTTTTTCCGTCTATTATTTACTTACAATTGACGAGAGCAAATAGAAAATAAAACAGGGATCGCAGTTATTTTTTCATGTACTTTTTCATGTACCTTACAAAAAGGGGATTTTAATTTTATATAATATAAGAAGATTCAGATAAAAAAAAGTAAATTTTTTATTTTATACATGGAGATTCAAATAAAAGAAGTAAATTTTTCAAATTAAGTAACAAATTTCAAATATTTCAAGGAAATGTTATAATTCTCGTCCTTAATTATAAATAACAAAAAAAAATGACGATTTTCAAGAAATATAATAAATGGTAAAAATCATTTTCTCCCAATTTTGAAAAATCGACAACGACAGGAGACACAAGAGCATAAAGTAAAAACGAGGTGCATAAAATCTTGTTCCAAAAATTGGATTTTCTCACTCGAGTGGATATCAGTGAAGCAGAGCAAGTGGAAGCATCGTGATGCTTTTCAAGGAAGCATTTCCATTTAAAGGAAGACCTCTTCCTTGCAAAAAAGGAGGAACAATACAAATGTCGTGTGAGCCACTTCCTCTTTGACCGAGTGCAAAAAAAAAAAAAAAGAAAAAAAAATGAAGAAAAAGAAAAGAACTCTTTCTCCTTTTCCTACACCGAGAGAAATGAAATGGCT